TACCATCATAAAACATCTTATATAAATTAACTTAATTATCAATATTAAAGTAGAGTAAATGTGACCCTTCTATCACTTTCTGAAATCTGGACAAAGTAGGCCAGAGTGAGGAAGGAGGGCAGCCATTGTTGTGTCACCTCCGAGACGTGTGGAGCAAATTCGGCTCCTATCATTCTGGACAATGTCGGCCAGTAACGTCAATAGTATGGAGTGAAACAGCCATTGTGTTTATATTGAGACCAGAGGCTCACACGGGAGCAAATTCGGCTCCTGTTAAATTTACTTGGACGTAGTGTTATGGAAACCAAAGGTGTACCATTTTTCAACACGCTGTCTACATATCAAGTTAAGTGTTCTTTCCGAAACCCATTATCTATCATTAGTGGCCATTAATGTCATTATATAGGGTGACCCGGTTAGAACGCGAAATAGCCTCAAACTAAAGGTAATTAAGCCAGGTCTTCATGTTCCATGTACTGTTTTCTCTGATATACTTGTCATATATAGGTATCTGGCTTCACAGCTAGCGCACTTTTGACAGGTCAAGACGAAGATGCAAGATTTGTGCACCAGTTACTGGGTGATATGGAAGCTACCTCAAAGAGGATAATTTGGTGTCTACACCCTAGTTATACCTGGTGGACTAACCTGCTGTACTATAAGATAAGGAACCTCTTTAATGTATGTAGTTATTTCTGTAGTTTGATTGGCTGCATATATATAAACTAATAAACCCCCCCTAATGTGTAGAGGATCGATTTGTGAGATTATGAGATTATTGCAGAAATACAGTCCACTTATCATTATACAAATTGCTATCGAAGTATATAAATTAACGTAAATATAAATTCATATAAATTAAACAAATATAAATCTCACAGGTCGGTTCCCACAGCAAACAAGTTTGTCCCAGTCCAAAAGGAAAACAGTGAAATGAAGATGAGAAACCCATGGTTTAATCAGAGATGTAGGCTAGCTAAGCAGCAAAGTAAAAGGGCATGGAGAAACTATAGGAATAACAGGACACTGGAGAGCAGAGAAAGATACCAGAATGCCAGGAATGAATATGTTAGGATGAGAAGAGAGGCAGAAAGACAATACGAAAATGACATCGCAAGCTAGGTAAAGACTCAGCCTAAATTGCTGCACAGCCACATCAGGAGAAAAACAACAGTAAAGGAACAGGTTATGAAATTAAGGATAGGGGCAGAAGGATTCACTACAAACGACAAGGAAGTGTGTGAGGAACTGAATAAGAAATTCCAGGAGGTCTTCACCTTGGAGCAAGGAGAAATCCCAGAGATAAGAGAGGGAATAGCTAACCAGGAACCACTGGAAGAGTTTGAGATTACCAGCGGGGAAGTAAGGAAGTGTTTACTAGAATTGGATGTGACAAAGGCTATAGGTCCAGATGGAATCTCCCCTTGGATACTAAAGGAAGGAGCAGAAGACCTGTGCCTCCCGCTCTCCATGGTGTATAACAAATCACTGGCGACAGGGGAACTGCCAGAAATTTGGAAAGCAGCTAACGTAGTCCCGATATACAAGAAAGGGGATAGACAGGAGGCACTGAATTACAGACCAGTGTCCCTAACCTGCATACCATGCAAGTTGATGGAGAAGATTGTGCGAAGAAAGCTAGTGGAACATCTGGAGCGAAAGAACTTTGTAACACAGCATCAACATGGATTCAGGGATGGCAGGTCCTGCCTCACAGGGTTACTTGAATTCTACGACCAGGCAACAAAAATAAGGCAAGAAAGAGAAGGGTGGGCAGACTGCATATTTTTGGATTGTCAGAAAGCCTTTGACACAGTGCCACACAAGAGGCTAGTGAACAAACTGGAGATGCAGGCTGGAGTGAAAGGGAAGGTACTCCGTTGGATACAGGAATACCTAAGTAACAGGAGACAACGAGTCAGTGTGAGGGGTGAGGTCTCAGATTGGCGAGACGTTACGAGTGGAGTACCGCAGGGGTCAGTCCTTGGACCTATACTGTTTCTGATATATGTAAATGATCTTCCAGAGGGTATAGAATCGTTTCTCTCAATGTTTGCCGATGATGCAAAAATTATGAGGAGGATTGAAACTGAGGACGATAGTAGGAGGCTACAAGATGACCTAGACAGACTGAATGGTCCAACAAATGGCTGTTGAAGTTCAACCCGAGTAAATGCAAAGTAATGAAACTAGGTGGTGGGAATAGGAGGCCAAACACAGGATACAGAATAGGAGATGAAGTACTTAATGAAACGAACAGAGAGAAAGATCTAGGAGTTGATATCACACCAAACCTGTCTCCTGAAGCCCACATAAAAAGAATAACGTCTGCGGCATATGCGAGGCTGGCTAACATCAGAACAGCGTTCAGGAACCTGTGTAAGGAATCATTCAGAATCTTGTACACCACATATGTAAGACCAATCCTGGAGTATGCGGCCCCAGCATGGAGCCCGTACCTTGTCAAGCACAAGACGAAGCTGGAAAAAGTCCAAAGGTATGCCACTAGACTAGTCCCAGAACTAAGAGGCATGAGTTACGAGGAAAGGCTGCGGGAAATGCACCTTACGACACTGGAAGACAGAAGAGTAAGGGGAGACATGATCACAACCTACAAAATCCTCAGAGGAATCGACCGGGTAAACAAGGATAAACTATTCAACACTGGTGGGACGCGAACAAGGGGACACAGGTGGAAACTGAGTACTCACATGAGCCACAGAGACGTTAGAAGGAACTTTTTCAGTGTCAGAGTAGTTAACGGATGGAATGCATTAGGCAGTGATGTGGTGGAGGCTGACTCCATACACAGTTTTAAATGTAGATATGATAGAGCCCAGTAGGCTCAGGAATCTGTACACCAGTTGATTGACAGTTGAGAGGCGGGACCAAAGAGCCAAAGCTCAACCCCCGCAAGCACAAATAGGTGAGTACAAATAGGTGAGTACACACAGACAGACAGACAGACAGACAGAGACACAGACACACAGACAGACACACAGACAGACAGACAGACAGACAGACAGACAGACAGACAGACAGACAGACAGACAGACAGACAGACACACAGACAGACAGACACACACAGACAGACAGACACACACAGACAGACAGACAGACACACAGACAGACACACAGACACACAGACAGACACACAGACACACAGACAGACACACAGACAGACAGACAGACACACACAGACAGACAGACACACAGACAGACAGACACAGACACACAGACAGACACACAGACAGACAGACAGACACACACACACACAGACAGACAGACAGACACACACAGACAGACAGACAGACAGACAGACAGACACACACAGACAGACAGACACACAGACAGACAGACAGACAGACACACACAGACAGACAGACAGACACACACACAGACAGACAGACACACACAGACACACATAGACAGACAGACAGACACACACACAGACACACAGACACACACACACACACAGACACACAGACACACACACACACAGGCACACACACAGACACACAGAATGTAAACAAGCACCAACATGGGTTCTGGACAGGGAAATCATGCCTAACAAACCTTTTAGAATTCTATGATAAAGTAACAAGGATAAGGCAGGACAGAGAAGGCTGGGCAGACTGCATATTTCTTGACTGCCAAAAGGCCTTTGATACGGTACCGCACATGAGACTGCTATACAAACTTGAGAGGCAGGCAGGAGTAAGCGGAAAGGCCCTAGTATGGGTGAAGAACTACCTAACAGGAAGGAGCCAGAGGGTAATGGTAAGGGGCGAAAAGTCGGACTGGCGAACAGTAACAAGTGGAGTACCTCAAGGATCGGTGCTGGGACCAATCCTCTTTCTAATTTACGTAAATGATATGTTTACAGGAGTGGAATCATACATGTCAATGTTTGCAGATGACGCAAAATTAATGAGAAGAGTTGTGACAGACGAGGATTGTAGGATCCTCCAAGAGGACTTAAACAGGCTGCAGAGATGGTCAGGGAAATGGCTACTGGAGTTTAACACCAGTAAATGTAAAGTTATGGAAATGGGATCAGGTGACAGGAGACCAAAGGGACAGTACACAATGAAGGGGAACAGCCTACCTGTAACGATTCGAGAAAGAGACCTGGGAGTGGATGTGACACCTAATCTAACTCCTGAGGCACATATAAATAGGATAACGACAGCAGCGTACTCTACACTGGCGAAAATTAGAACTTCATTCAGAAACCTAAATGAGGAAGCTTTTAGGGCGCTTTACACTGCCTACGTGAGACCCGTCTTAGAGTATGCCGCGCCATCATGGAGCCCCCACCTGAAGAAACACATAAAGAAACTGGAGAAGGTTCAGAGGTTTGCGACGAGGCTTGTCCCAGAGCTACGAGGGATGGGATATGAAGAGCGGCTGAAGGAACTGAACCTTACGACACTAGAGAAAAGAAGGGAGAGAGGAGATATGATAGGGACATATAAAATACTCAGGGGAATTGACAAAGTGGAAATAGATGAAATGTTCACACGTAATAATAACAGAACGAGGGGACATGGGTGGAAACTGGAAACTCAGATGAGTCACAGAGATGTTAGGAAGTTTTCTTTTAGCGTGAGAGTAGTAGAAAAATGGAATGCACTTGGGGAACAGGTTGTGGAAGCAAATACTATTCATACTTTTAAAACTAGGTATGATAGGGAAATGGGACAGGAGTCATTGCTGTAAACAACCGATAGCTAGAAAGGCGGGATCCAAGAGTCAATGCTCGATCCTGCAAGCACATATAGGTGAGTACATATAGGTGAGTACACACACAGACACACACACAGACACACACACAGACACACACACAGACACACACACAGACACACACACAGACACACACAGACACACACAGACACACACAGACACACACACACACACACACACACACACACACACACACACACACACACACACACACACACACACACACACACACCAATAAGAAACACTTCACCAACCTGCTCCTTGAGCCTTCTCTTCCAAGCCACGAGGAGATGTGACTGGGCCTTGTTCCTGTCCCGCAGCTCCGCGAGTGAGCGTCGCGCCTCCTCCAGCGTGGCCACCTCCTCCTCCTGCACCGCCTCCAGCACCCCCACGCCCATCTGCCCAACACGCAAGAAAAAAAAAAGAATATAAGAAGACTGCACCGCACTAGAGGTGGGAAGAGGCAGGGGGGAGGGTCGTGCAGATGCGGCAACTTGGGAAGATGGTCTAAACATATTTGGTGATTTATTTTTCATTTTAATGTTCGCTATTTATGACAATTGTCGTTTATGTGTTTGTGGCAACATTTGGAGTAGGGAGTTAGTGTTACTGAGAGTGGTACTATCGGGGTTGGGGAGAAACTGCAGCAGCAGTGGTATTACTAATTATCAAGAGCAGGTACCAAGCCTGGAAGACTATGTAGCACCCATTGCACAGAGCAGTGATGGTAGAGGCAGCAGGTGGCAGATATTAGCTGCAGTTAGCCTATTACTAGCATCTGTCTTAGTCGCTGTAGATGCACTAATAATATTAGCAATAATACCATAGGAAGCGGCGACCACTTGCGTCCTGACGCAGCTGTCAGATACACAGTTAAAAGCTCTGTTCCTCAGGGCACGGTCCTTGCACCACTGCTTTCCCGTATTCTCTTATTAGATATACATAAAAATACAAGTCACAGCTTCGTGTTATCTTTTGCAGATGACACAAAACTCAGCATGAAAATGACTTCTGTTGAAGACATTAGAAAACTACAAGCAGATATTAGTACAGTATTCGATTTTCTGCCAGCAGAAAATAGCATGATGTTTAACAGTGATAAATTCCAGGTACTCAGGTACGGTAAAAATGAGGACCTTAAACATAATACAGGGTACAAAACACAATCAAATCTGCCCATAGTAGGAAAACAGCATGTAGAGGATTTGGGAATAATGATGTCCGACGACCTAACCTTTAGGGAGCATAACCAAGCAAGTATTACGACAGCAAGAAAAATGTTAGGCTGGATTTCGAGAATCCAGGGATCCCATCACGATGGTTGTACTCTTCAAGTAACTTGTGCTGTCCCGTCTTGCGTACTGCTCAGTACTCACTTCCCCCTTCAGAGCAGGAGAGATTGCTGAAATAAAGGGAATACAGAGAACATATACGGCATACATAGACGCGATAAAGCACCTAAATTATTGGGATCGTCTCAAAGCTTTCAAAATGTACTCACTAGAAAGGAGATGAGAAAGGTACCAAATTGTATATACATGGAAAATACTGGAGGGCCAGGTCCCAAATTTATACAGCAAAATAACAACGTACTGGAGTGAACGATATAAAAGGAAATGCAGAATAGAACCAGTGAAGAGCAGAGGTGCCATAGGCACAATCAGAGAACACTGTATAAACATCAGAGGTCCGCGGCTGTTCAACGTCCTCCCAGCGAGCATAAGAAATATTGCCGGAACAAAATTGAAAGTCTTCAAGAAACAGCTGGATAGTTTTCAGCAAGAAGTGCCGGACCAACCAGGCTGTGGTGGATATGTGGCCTGCGGGCCGCTCCAAGCAACAGCCTGCTGGACCGAGCTCTCACACGTCAAGCCCGGCCTAGGGCCGGGCTTGAGGAGTAGAACTGCCAGAAGGTCATCCAGGTACAGGGTAGACTGGAGGGCAGCTGGCGCGGGTGGTGGTGCCTGGAGGGTGTGGTGATGGGGGAGGTGCAGAGTTCCACCTGCTGCGTCCCGCGATCCCTTGTCCCCGTACCTGTGGAGGTCTTTGTCCACACCATCACCCCTAACCTCCCGCCGGCGGTGCTGCTGCCATGCACACATAACACACCAGGATTTCATCTTGGGTTAACAATATTGTTTATCAACACACTAACTTCCTCAGACACTCACATTATAAACACATTAACCACGGTTAAGTGTTCCTTTGCCTCCCTATCAACGTTAGCCATGCTAACTTTAAGTGCATACAGGTAAAGAGCAGCCTGACCTGACAGTGGGCGTCTCACTCGTTAGTAACAAGGAAGTCACCACTTTAACACCATCCAAGTCAGTCAGCAACAAAATTACAGATAAACACGACTACTTTAGCTAATCCAGTGTTTGACTTGCGGTTAAACAAGTGATCGTAATTGGCGCTTGGAGGAGACGAAGGGTGCCTAGCGCCTTCCCACGACCGCAGCCCTGAGGCCAGCCCTGAGGCCAGCCCTGAGGCCAGCCCTGAGGCCAGCCCTGAGGCCAGCCCTGAGGCACGATGCTAGAGTAAAGCGACATGACCGCTTGGAAGGTGAAGTAACTGTTCTTACCTGTATGATGGAGACACCTGTAATTAATGTAGCCTTTCCTTGTATAAACAAAGACTCAAATATCCAATATTAAATAATAATAATTGTAATAATATTTAATAATAATGTGACGGATTGTGGAAGAGTTTATACGGGGCTCCTGTTGCTTACCAGTCAATGGGGCAAACCCAGAGATATATTTTACTGCAGAAAAATGCGTACTGAAGCTGTAGACTTTTCACAGCAATGTATTACGAGGTGAAGACACACGGGTGTACATAGTGGTGCATCACAACACCTTGTAACACTTTATAAGTATAGTATAGAACACTGGCTTGCAGTAGTGTGGTGTAGCGCCCGGGGGGGGGGGGGGGAGAGCTCAACACAGCACCCACCACCCTCACCCACCACCCCTCACCCCACCACCCCTCAACCCTCCACCCTCACCTCACCACCCTCACCTCACCACCCTCACCTCACCACCCTCGCCTCACCACCCTCGCCTCACCACCCTCGCCTCACCACCCTCGCCTCACCACCCTCGCCTCACCACCCTCACCCCACCACCCTCACCCCACCACCCTCACCCCACCACCCTCACCCACCACCCTCGCCTCACCACCCTCGCCTCACCACCCTCGCCTCACCACCCTCACCCCACCACCCTCACCCCACCACCCTCACCCCACCACCCTCACCCCACCACCCTCGCCCCACCACCCTCGCCCCACCACCCTCACCCCACCACCCTCGCCCCACCACCCTCACCCACCACCCTCACTCCACCACCCTCGCCCCACCACCCTCGCCCCACCACCCTCACCCCACCACCCTCACCCCACCACCCTCACCCCACCACCCTCACTCCACCACCCTCACTCCACCACCCTCACCTCACCACCCTCACCTCACCACCCTCACCTCACCACCCTCGCCTCACCACCCTCACCCCACCACCCCTCACCCCACCACCCTCACCCCACCACCCTCACCCCACCACCCTCACCCCACCACCCTCACCCCACCACCCTCACCCACCACCCCTCACTCCACCACCCTCACCCCACCACCCTCACCCCACCACCCTCACCCCACCACCCTCACTCCACCACCCTCACTCCACCACCCTCACTCCACCACCCTCACCCCACCACCCTCACCCCACCACCCTCACCCCACCACCCTCACCCCACCACCCTCACCCCACCACCCTCACTCCACCACCCTCACTCCACCACCCTCACTCCACCACCCTCACTCCACCACCCTCACTCCACCACCCTCACTCCACCACCCTCACTCCACCACCCTCACCCCACCACCCTCACCCCACCACCCTCACCCCACCACCCTCACCCCACCACCCTCACTCCACCACCCTCACTCCACCACCCTCGCCTCACCACCCTCGCCTCACCACCCTCGCCTCACCACCCTCACCCCACCACCCCTCACCCCACCACCCCTCACCCCACCACCCCTCACCCCACCACCCTCACCTCACCACCCTCACCTCACCACCCTCACCTCACCACCCCTCACCCCACCACCCCTCACCCCACCACCCCTCACCCCACCACCCCTCACCCCACCACTCCTCACCCACCACTCCTCACCCACACCACCCCTCACCCCTCACCCCTCACCCACCACCCCTCACCCACCACCCCTCACCCACCACCCCTCACCCACCACCCCTCACCCACCACCCCTCACCCACCACCCACCACCCCTCACCCACCACCCCTCACCCACCACCCCTCACCCACCACCCACCACCCCTCACCCACCACCCCTCACCCACCACCCCTCACCCACCACCGTTCACTGTAGTTGCCACTCCGTCAAAACTACGACTGTTGGCCCAACCAGAAACCTACAACCCCAAGAAACTCGCCTAACCCATTTGAAGCCGATGAATAGACAACGTTAATATTACGGTGCTTTAATGTTTACTAACACGTCGTATTTATAACGGATTCGTCGATTCCTTCAGTCATGCGACGTATGGAGCGTGTTGTTAAGAACTATAGGCTAGTGGAGAAGGTGGCTGAGTAGACAGAACACTGGACGCGTGATCCTGTGGTCCCGGGTTTGATCCCGGGCGCCGGCGAGAAACAATGGGCACAGTTTCTTTCACCCTGATGCCCCCTGTTACCTAGCAGTAAATAGGTACCTGGGAGTTATTCAGCTGTCACGGGCTGCTTCCTGGGGGTGGAGGCCTGGTCGAGGACCGGACCGCGGGGACACTAAGCCCCGAAATCATCTCAAGATAGTGTTGGCTAGGAGGGTACGTGGGGTGACCTGGACCCTCCTCCCATATTGTGGTGTAGAAACTATCTAAGGAACACTAGACAGGTAGTGTACCTGGTTGATACCTGGTTGATGGGGTTCTGGGAGTTCTTCTACTCCCCAAGCCCGGCCCGAGGCCAGGCTTGACTTGTGAGAGTTTGGTCCACCAGGCTGTTGCTTGGAGCGGCCCGCAGGCCCACATACCCACCACAGCCCGGTTGGTCCGGCACTCCTTGGAGGAATAAATCTAGTTTCCTCTTGAAAATAAGTGGGTACGTGTAAGTGGGTACTAAGAGCCTATGAATGATTAGAATTTAAATCTGATTTAAATTCACGGCGGGCGTCCCTGGCAGCGAGCTATGTTTAATAAACTGGCTGGTAATACATCGGTCCACATATACGGTGTGACAGTGTCAGACCACGGAGGAAAATTGAAACAGGAATTTCCTTAAGTACTTTCGTATATTAATACATCTTCAGAAGGAGTGAAAATGAGTGAAGAGAGCACTCCTTCTGAAGATGTATTAATATACGAAAGTACTT